CTGCACAACTCGTCGATGAGATGATATTTCGGAACGCCGTTTGGTGGTTGAAACTGGCGTTGGAGGCGCTTGCTGACCGGATGCTGCTAAGCCAGCTCCCGCAGATGATGGAGTACAGCCATGCTAAAGCATACGATTAGCTTGATGGTAGTGGATTCCCGTTTCGACAGCTTACAAGAGTCGTGCAGTGGTGCTCAGCAGCATCGGCAGCATTGCTTGCGCGGAGGCTCTCCTCACATGCAGCATCAAAGCTAGTGGGGACCATCTGCTTGCTCAGAGCTGGGGCCGTTTTGACCCTCATACTCGAGGCTCTCAATTGCCGCAAGCAGGTAACGGACGCCATCCGCGACGGCTTCCCATGCGGGATGTCCACCCTGTCCCAAGTTGCTCTCCATGATCCTGAGGAACGTCTGTTCGGATTGGGCGACGTCCATGGCTCGGGCGATGCGAGCGGCGTGGACTCATTGTTGGATTCATTGTTGAATCCAGAACCTCCACAGCTCCCAGGTCATTTCCCGTCTGCCTCTTCGTCGTTGCTTGTTGGAATCCTTCTTCATGAGGCCTCGGAGGCTCACTATCCGACGAGTTGTTGTTGGCGAGCGAGGGCGTTGGTGAATTTGGAATATCGAAGTTGGTGTCCGACACCTCATGGGCAACGGCGTCCACTCTGGGTGCTCCAAAACCGACCTTTCGTCGTCTCCGTCGGTGGGGTCATCGAGGTGAACGGTGCTGTCACCCTTGCGTCTCTTGTGGTTAGACGCCCGAGCCAGAGATGTTGACTGAGACGCCGTATCTTCGTCATCCTCGCGGGACCGCTTCTTCGATGGCAGCTGGGGCTCACCTGGCAGAAACTGTTAGCACGTCGTAACAGTGTGCCAATGCGCCGAAGAGGCCTAAGTACGTTCCGACAGGATCCATGGGCGTCGACGAAAGTCCCCAATTCCCTCATGAAGCCGATTTTCGTGTTCCTCCGCTTCGAAGAGACGTTGCCCGTGTTCCTTTCAGGAAGGGTTAGTACTGGTTGATCTGAGAAGCGCGAGAAGTCTTACTTACGGTGAGGGTTGTATATATGCCATGTTGGCTTTCAAAATGTCTGGTGTATATGAATCGACAGAGTCGAGCATCGTGGTGTAGGCCATGTTATGGCCGAAATATAATCTCCATCGAGGAGTCGAAAGGTGTGGTATATATATAGTTCTCGGTTAGGACGTTTGCGATTCGCAAGGCACTCAACTCTGCTCCACGCGTAAGACACGGTACCTGTGCAAACCGCGCATGGGCTTGCCGTCTGGCGCTGGTTTGCACATGCGCTTTTACACGCGATTGGGATGCTGGTCATTTGGTACAAGTGAATGGAGTGCGCACAACCCGTGGCCGATCCAATCGCGGGCTCTCATCGCAATAAATGACTGGATAGGATCCCATCGGCGACGACCGCCTCCAAGGCATGGCGTCAAACAAGTCACCAAGTGTTCCACCTCTTCAGACATCCAACAGTTGTGTGTTCTTTTCAGTGTTAGTACTGCTTGACATGAAAGAACGGGGAAGGTACTTACGCTGGGCGTCGTGTATATATGCCGTATTGGCGTTCGAAATGTGTGGTGTATATAAGATCCCGACAAAGCAGAGCAGCATGACTGGGGAGTGTTTGGATCGATATATAATCTCCGTAGGAGAAGTCAAAAGGTGATGTATATATAGTTCTCGGTAGAGTCGAGCAGCATACGCTGGGTGGCGCACCTCACGGTTGACGTCAACTGCGCTGTTGCGAAAAGCTTCAGCAGTTGCCTTCACTTCCCGAAACGCGTGAGTGGTCGTCATTTTCTCTCACTCCTAAGGCATGGAACGTTTCGTTGACGAAGGGCACCCCAAAGAACATCAAACAGCAGGATTACGGGGCCGGAGATTAGTTGCCACGACGTAGACCTGGGTCGCTTGCGGGCTCCTCCCTTGGTTGTGCGTGGTGGCGGAAGAGAACGCATCGCTTTGATCGCGAAAGCCATGTCGCCAAAGAAGGTTTGGACGCGATGATCGGACTGGTTCTCCCCAGCCCTCTCCACCATCAGCAACATATCGCGGAAAAGAACAAGCAGATCAAGGAACTCGAAACCAACATCCACAATCCGTTCGATCGCCCATCGCATCTCCGGTTCTGGTTTCGCCGCTTTTGATCGGAAAGTCTTGCAACTGGAACAGCATCTCGTCGCGGGAAAAGGCCATATATAATCCCGTCGTGGGAAAGTCAATGCGAAGCTTCGTATATATAGGATGCTCATTGGACAAACGGTAGGTCTGGTGGACATGGGGGTGGAGCAGGAGCGGAGCAGGAGTTAGTTTGCTGCTGCGCTGCATGAGCAGATCCTGCGCAAGTCAGTTTCATGGTCCGTCTGATTTTCGAAGGCATTCTACTTACTGCGAAGTTCCCTCCGAACATGAGGTTCTCATTGACAAGCTGTCATCGCAGGCGAGTTCTGGTGCGCAGAAAGCGGTGATGAGGTCGCTCCGTCCAGAGCTGGATCCATGTAGTGTATCAAGATGGCCCGATGTCCGCTGGATCCATGAGCGACGATCATGATGCGAGACGGTGCAGTGGTTGGAGCGCGGAGATGCCGTGCATGCATATCCCCTAGAGAAAATTAATAAGCATAACCAGCTAGGATAGTAGATTTACTTTTGATTGGCTGAGGAGCCGCTACTACCAGATGTTACTTTGGAACATGGCACTGGGTGGACAACACTGACCGGCAGGGCGAGAGGGGATCGCCTGGAAGACATGGAATTGCATTTCGAGATTAGAGTTGTTGAAATCTGCGTTAGGGTTGTCCCGCCTGCAATAGTGGTTAGTTGCTCGTCATTGCTCGTTTCAAAGCGAACAAACTTACAATTCAAACCATACGGGACCACAACTCCTGCAAAACCTTCTGTCCTGAACCCGCCATGGGCTTCTTCCGTCTCGTATATACGAAAATTCTCGACAGAGAGACATGGGAAAAGAAAGGTATATAAAACATCTCGGGTAGAACCGAGGAAAAAGTGGTGATGGCCAAAGTGGCTGATATATATCGCGAGGAGGGGGAGCCTGCACATGCCGCGACGTGCCGGTCCGTACCTGTCACTCTTGTCAGTTCATTGTCATCTCTCTCAAATCAGACACAACTTACGATCCATAGCTCGAGACTGTTCTGCAGGTCATTCACAGCGATGAGGATGGCAAGGGCTTCAAGTCCGGGATCAGATCCCTTCAACCAACCAGACGATGCAGCCTGAGAGCATGATACCTTGCACTCTTCGACAGCGGCATCGTTCTCCCCAGCCCTCTCTCCATGTTCGGCATCCAAGTCTTAGGTGTAATTGCTTGGTCGTCGAAGCGGCGTTGCGGCTTGCGCTTGCACGTACACAAGAACTGTGTACATGCCTAGAAGACGTGGAAGGCATCCGATGGAGTCCGAACCGAGGGAAGAACGAGCCTGCAATCCTGGTCAGTTCAATGTCGTCACCGACCATAAGAATGAGAGCAAACAAACTTACAATCCAGACCATGCCTCCCACGTGTTGGTCCTGCCCGTTCCAGAACTCTCCAACATCCTCATCGTTCGGTCAAATATAAACAGAAGTCCTCCACATGAGGAACTGTGCGAGCCCGGAAAAAGCCGAGGAAAAGGTGGTGGTGACCAACGTGGCCGATATATAAAGATCCCAACAACGTTGGGAGAAGAGTCGTCACGGCCCAGTGGCCGATATATAAGGAGAACCCACGAACAAAGTCATGGAAAGGGTGCAGATGGGAGTGAAGTATATATGGAGCAGACAATGCTCAACCAACATGGCATACATGCCTCAGGTTGCAGAAAAAGAGTGGTATATATAAAGAAGACAGTGCTCCACCCAGGGACATGCATGGGAAGACTGAGTTGGGTGGAGCACCGCTGGAAATCGTTGAAAAGAACAAGCTGTGAGAGAGGGCCGCCGTGCTTTTACATCCAAGGGAAGAAGGCCAAAAGGACACCAAAACTTGGGAGGAAAAGGACGCAGGCAGAGGGGAGCGACACTCCAGCGAGCCCGACATCGGAAACGCGACACATCTGAGCGGTGAAGACGTCAGTGCAAATTTCCGTATCGGACGGGATGCCGCAGTACCTGCAGCAGGCTGAGGCAGCGTTGATGATCTGTGTGAGATGTGACCAGTCACTGTGCTTTCTTGCCGTTTCGACTGGAGGATCAGTCAAACGGCCCACCACCTGTCGGTACCCAACTAGCACCTCACCGCTGAACCAGGACTGACACTTGTCGCTTGAATCTCTCTAAACCTGCCACTGAATGAGGACTCACCCTTATCTCTGGAACCTACTGTGTTGCCATGCGGAGACGATATCAATAAAACCCGTGTAACTCACCCAGGCAGCAGCAGACGAACTCACCAACACCAATGATCAATCTCTGTCGCTTCCCGTACCAGGACTCACTCTCATCCCTCAAATTTCGGCTTGTTGACATGCGTGTACATCGAGACGATATCAGTGAGACTCGTACGAAGAGAGTGTCGCGCTACCGATCAAGCCAACATCAGACCACCGACCAGCGCTGCGTTTGCAATTCTCGCCTCGCGGTATGCATCTACCCGCTTCCCACTATACGTACCAATCGCTGCACGGAATGATCCAGCAGCTGACGCCCAAGTCATTCCGGGGAGTCGGCAACATGCAGTATGGTCTATGCGAGGCTGAAAAGATTTGAGGGTGGAGAGGAGTCGTGTGCGAGCGTGGTTGAGGCACAACAGAAACAGCAAACAACCACCACCTGCACCAAAAATACATCGGGAAGTCACCCGCTTCCGCCCCCCTACCTCCCTTCCTCCCTACTACCACCGCCGCCCATCTCCGTAGGTCTCACAAACACGCGAAAATAGGACACGCTCTCGCAACCCCTCTCCTTTCGCATCCTTCGTCGCACCCAGTCCGGTATGGGTGTTGTTGTGTTGATTGCCAAGTGCAAAAAAGAAATGCCCGCTACCAGAATCGAACTGGCGACCTCATCATAACGATCTCTTACTAGTGATGCGCTCTACCACTGAGCTAAGCGGGCGGGTTAACGATCATTGACCAGTTGCATTGAGTTGATGAAATTTGTTTGTTACGTTAATTTATCAATCAAGAGGATGCGGATGCGCGTCAAGGGAATATCAGTGTGTCGCGCTCTCTTTTCTTGCCCTCCATACTTGTTGTGGGTTGGAAGGGGGGGCATTGCGCCTCTTAATGAGCATAAAACAAAAAAAAACTTCAGTCTTGAAAGCGTGCAGAGAAATCAGCGGGTATCATCCGCGCATCGATACAAATCCAACCAAAACTGCGATCCGTTCCTAAACAAAACACCACACCTCCTACCTCCCTACTTCCTCAACCTCCCCATCCTCTCCATCTCCGTCCACCACGCACAAGCCTCCACCCTCACCCCCTCCCTCTCCTCCTCCATCACTGTCCCCCTCCCATCCCACCCCCCAACTTTCAACTGCCTCCCTCCTAACCCCTCATACCGTTCCCACACTGGCGCACCCTCCACAGCATGTGTATTCGGATTCCCCGAGACCACAAAACTCGCCCAGTAGCCACTATACTCCCTCGCAATCTCCGGGTACTGCACATTCGCCACCCCATTGAAATACGACGCGTCCGCCGCATGCGGGATCCCCATCCACGGTTCGCCGCCATTCGGCGTATTAAACCGCGCTTTGTATACCGGCGCTCCGGCGGAAGAGAGACGCGCGGCGTTGTCTTGCACCGGGCAGATATACGCATAATCCCCAAACGCCGCGACGATCCTCTTAAACTGCTTCCCGTGATTCGGAGCGCTGGGATCGGGCGCGTAGGGACTCTCAGGGAGCTCGGGGTCAGGGTATAGGGTTTTTAGATCTTGGAGGTCGGTTTTGTTAAGCCCGGGGTTGACGGTGTGCAGGAAGCGGGTGAAGTCGTTTGTGGTTTCTAGGTTCTGGGGCGCGAAGAAGGTGCCTTCATTTGTCGTGGAGGAAATCAGGATGGGAATTCTGAAGAATGTGCCCTCGGCGCCGGATTGCGAGCCGCGCTTTTCGAGTAAAGGACCCGGGGACACGGGTTGGAAGGGCCAGGTAATGCTGTATGTGCTTGCGGCGTAGAGAGCGACTTGCTTGCGTCTGATGTCTGCGACGGAGGCCTGGCGGAGGCAGGAGAGGGCGACGGCGTTGGGCGTCATGGGGCATTTGAGGTAGGCCATGAAGTCATTGAATTGGCGTTTGTAGAGGTCGGATGTAGCTTCTGGGAATGCACGTGCGGTGGAGGAGCCGGAGGAGAGGATGGCTTGCGAGAAGAGCGGCGTGCCTGCGTCGCTGCTGTAGTTGTGGAAGAGGTGGATGCCGACGGAATGGCCGCCGGCGCTCTGGCCAGCGAGGGTGACGCGGTCGGGGTCGCCGCCGAAAACGGATATGTGCTTTTGGACAAACTGCAAGGCGAGACGTTGGTCTAGTATCCCCAGGTTCAGCAATCCCTCCTCTTCGAACAGCTTCGAGGGCAATGAACCCAGCGCACTGAGACGGTATTGTACCGTAACCACCATGAGCGGCTGAGACGACCTGGCGACAAAGCTGGCACCATCGAAGCTTCGGGCGCTTCCCATGACGAAACTGCCTCCATGAAGAAACACCAGCACCGGAAGCTTCTTCGAGTACGCAACCCCCGCTGTTCTGAAGATATTGAGGTTGAGACATGCCTCTGACTGATCCGAAGGGTTCCCGCCCTGGATACAAGCCGGTCCATGCTCTATCGCATCGCGGGTCCCGTTGAACGGTGCCGGCCAATCCGACCGCGCGAAGCGATACTCTCCAACTGGTTGTCTTGCGTAGCCGATCCCGAGCCATGCGTCAACGGGGTCGTCTAGTGGGTCCTCGCGCCTGAGGTGCCGCAGCACCTGAGTGCCCTTGAACGTGCCGTATCCGGGCAATGTGACGATGAGCGGCGACCGTGGTAACCGCGAGTAGGGGAGTGAGCCGCCCAAGGTGTATCCGTATATTATGAGGAAGACGAAGAGGGCGAGACAGAAGATCAAAGCTGATACAACCCATCTCTTCCTTCGCGCCCTATGATCATCCGCGAAGTCAGCGCGCTTCCAGGGCCCAGTAGGCGAATCCATTGGATCTTGGGTAGGTGAGTTTGCGAGAAGGGGAGTTCGCGCCGTCGCGCTGTCAGAGGAGTTGCCGCGGCTCCATGGCGAGCGAGGGCGCCGCTGGAAGCCAGTCGGTGCGTTGGATGAGGAGGAGGAGGGTGAGATGGCTGAGCATAGCTTCGAGTTTCGGGATTCGGGGGGGGTCATGGCTGTGTTGTCACGCCCGGAGTTGTATGAAGCACGCCGGCGCCATCTGATGTTCCAGACCCAAGTCCCTGCAGAGCCCAAGCTTTGCGCTAAGCCGCGCTTAGCCTATGCTTAATCGTTGGAGCCCGTGCGCCAACGCGGGGGTGGGGTCCGCAAAGCCGGTGGAGAGGAACTTTTGGTACAACTCCTTGGAGAGAGCGCTCAAGTCAACAATCAGCTCATTGTTTTCCGAGAAAATGCTACTACCAGGAAACCCATCACGAATATCGGACAGGCTTCGACTCAGCTCACGGGACTTACCCCAATTGAGCGAGCAATAGTCTCTCCCATAGCGTCATCTGGATGCGAGAAGTCGTGCGAGAGGTTTAGCCTTGCGGGAGAAGCCTAGACCTAAGCCACATGCCATCAGAATCGCCTATTCCTTTGCATTGGCTGCTCTTTACGGCCATGCAGACATTCGAACAATGCATTAAACTTAACCTTCGACCAGGTAAAACCTCAACTTCACTCAATCTCCTTTCTACCTGCTCGTACATTCAACCCTCCTTCTCCCCCGCCTCCCTCTCAACCTCCCCCGCCATCTCCCCCAAGGTCCCAAACCTCCAATCCCACACCTCCTCCCCGACCCCCACATTCCCACACACCGCACCCTCTCTATCAATCCACGCCCCCTTAATCCCCAAGCTCCTACACGGCTTATGATCATGGTATTGACTCTGCGCCGTCTGCAACACCTCCTCCTTGCTCACCCCAAACGTCGACCCAACAATCCTCAACATGTACTCGAAATTCCGCAAATCGGGCTTATAACTCCCAATATCCTGCGCCGTGATAACCGCATCGAACGGGAAATCCTTCAGTGGCCCTTTCAGAGAAGATTGGAATGATTCGTTGTCTACATTCGACAACACGACCAATTTAAAATACTTCCTCAATTTGTACAACGCCCCAAGAGTATCCGGAAATGCAGGCCAATTCTTGATACTCTTTCCAAAAGCGGCGGATTCTTCGGATGTGGGAGTAGCACAGCCGAGGCGGAGACAGAGTTCGGGATGGATGGTCGTCAGGAGGTCGGAGTATAGCATATCTGGTGTTTTCTTCTGCTGTGCGCTTTCGAGCTCGACGCACGTGGAGAGGATGGTTTGACGGGATATATCGGATTTGTTGTTGCGGGTGAGGATGGGGTGTAGGGCGGTGATGAAGCCGGTTTCCCAGTCTATCAGAGTGCCGTAGACGTCGAAGGAGAGGAGGCGGAAGGAGGTTAGTTTGGACATTGTAGAAGATTGGTTGTAAGGCAAGGAAGATGAGCAATGGGTGAGAGAGAGTTGTGTTGGAGGATTGGAGGAATAGTAGGATTGCTTAGGACTTATACAACGAGGTTTGTCCCACACCGCGCCCTACGTGACCTTGCAGGTGGTTGTTGACATACGAAGTCCCACTGCGGGGTGATGTAGAGGGGAGCTGCGATAGGACTATACCATTTGTTGCCTAGCGGCCGGAGCATGATCGGAAGGGCGCAAGAGAAGGGTGAGGTAAGAAGCTTCGATACCATTCCCTGAACGTTCATGGGGATATGACCAGGTTGCCTTCTGTCGCATTGTCTCCGCTCCTCGTCGCAATGCCTCTACATGTGATACGGGAGATCTCCAAGTTTGCTCGTCAACACCTCCTTCGTAAGCGACCACAGGTTCTCAGCCAACTGATCATCCAACGCCTGCTTGCTAGGCTCCGTGACCTTTCGATCTGGCACAATATACTTCCCCGTAATCTTCTCCTTGGCAATATCTGGACTCGTCGCTGCAAACAGTGCAGGTCGGCACCCCTGCTTGACAGGATCTTTCATGAACGGCCGTGTCATTGCCACACCGACTGTGCCCAAAAGACCGTACGCATCCTCGGCCTGCTTCTGCTGATCCGTGCTTACGCCTCCGGGGTGTGTTGCGTTGATATACGGCTCGTTGTTTACTGAGACGTTGCCGAATTGGCCGGCTTCTATACGCTTGACCAGCTGCCGGACGAAGAGTACCTGCGCAAGCTTGGTGCGGTTGTACAGGTACGTTGCTCCGATGTCCTTGTTGATCTCGTCGATCGACTCGAAATGTACTGACGAGGGAGCCATGCGATGTAGGTCGGAAGACTGGAAGACAAGGCGGGAATCCTTCGTTTTCCGGAGCAGCGGCAACAGCGTCAAAGCGAGGTGAGCCTGACTGAAATGGTTGACCTGCATGTGGCTGTCCAGCCCGTCGCCAGTCTCGTTGTAGACGCCGACTCCCAAGCCGGCGTTGCAGACCAGGCCATCGAGTCTGTCAAGATCCTTGGCTAGGCTCTTCGCGACTTCGTCCATCTGTTTGAACGACTCCAGGTTCACTTGTCTCCATTCGACCTTCGATGTGTCGCCCCACTCCTTCAGGTCATCTTGTGCCTCTTGTGCATGCTCCTCCTTCATCGATAAGAGGTAGATCTTCGCGGGGTTGTGCTGCAGCAGGTGTGCCACGATGCCGTAACCGATGCCGGCCGAACCTCCAGTGACGACATAAACCTTTTGTTGTCAGTGAATGTAACTCCGAAGTGCTCCTCTGCGCCCACCTTGCCGCTGAGGTCTGGGATGTCCTTATCGGGGTTGAATGTGTTGCCAGTGAGTGACATGGTGAGATAACTTTGAGGCTGAGGTTTGCTCGTATAGGTTAAACTTCGTGAGGGTTTTGGAGGTTTTGTAGGCTGTGTCGGGCGTCTGTTCTATTAGTTAT